GTCGACGAACTTGGAGGTATCTGCCGAGACTAAACTACCGAGCGGAGAACGTATCAGAATCCGGGCTTATGAAGAGATTCATGTCCATCATGGCAAAATCAACCCCCAAGCCAAGAATGTTTGCCCCTTTAAGGCCAGGTGCAGGCGAGATGGAAGCACCAAAGCTCCAAGGAGTGGTCTTTGACGTGGATGGAACATTGTGGTGAGCATCTCATTCAAGATCCCCCCTCACAGCTGTACAACCCATGTCATCACCATCATTCTTCCACATCAAGCTCATTCCCCTGAAACATCTCATCACGAACCCTCACTAAAAAACCCCCCCAAGCGAACCCCAAAACTACATGTTCCACCAAATGCGCTCCGTCCTCTCCATCTCCCGCCAAACCGACATACTGGAGCATATCTACTCCCTCCCGCCCTCGGCCCAGGAGTCCGCCATGGCGTCCATTCGCGCCATAGAAGCCCAAGCCATGACGCTCCAAACCCCCCAACCCGGTCTTGTCACGCTGATGACCTATCTCGACTCCCGCTCCATCAGGAAGGGCATCTGCACGCGCAACTTTGACGCCCCCGTCAACCATCTCCTCTCGAAGTTTTTGTCGGGGTCCAGCTTCCACCCCATCGTCACACGGGACTTTCGGCCGCCCAAGCCCGATCCTGCTGGGATTCTGCACATCGCCCGCAGCTGGGGGCTGATGAGAAGAGTGGGAGAGGGGGAGGAGGAGAAGTTGGGGGTGCCGATGGGAGAGGAAGGAAAGAGGGAGGGGCTGGTTGAGACGCATAAAGGGGAGGAGGTGGCGGATGCGAGCAAGCTGATCATGGTGGGCGATTCCATTGATGACATGACTGCCGGACGGAGGGCCGGGGCCGCAACGGTACTGCTGGTCAATGATGTCAATCGGCACTTGGCGGATCATGAGCACACGGATTTGGTTATTGAGAGGTTGGATGAGCTGATTGAAGTGCTTGAGAACGGGTTTGTGGGGAGGGCGATAGAGGAGAAGGTGTGAGTGTTGAGGGCACTTGAAACGGGTCGGGCTATAGATCGGACCGGTGTTATTAGACGCCTCACAAGCGCTGCGGTCCGCGAGGAAGGGAAGTTCAGAACTGTACATATCGTACGCTTGCATATTAATGGCGAGAGCAACTCGCGGAATGGCATGATTGAGGGTTCCCAGTTGCCAGGGGGTAATACTCCATCCAAACTAATAAGATCCATTTGCCACCGCTACCGCTTAAAGAAAGGCGTAGTCAACGACTTCCACAACCCCCTCCTCTTCACCGGCGAAACAGGCGCTATCCTCCCGGTCTCCATCTGCGCCAACTTGGCCACCCGCTCCGCCTGCTCCCTCCTCTGCCGATTCAGCCTCTTCGACTTCATCACCTCCATCGCCAACGACGGAAACACCTTGTCAACATTATCCCCCGTCTTCGCCGAAACCTCAAGAAACGCACAAATACTCCCGCTCGGCAGCCTAAACCCGGCCGCCACCTTGCTCCCCTCGGCCCAAGAAACCTGCCTCTCCTCGTCCTCAACATCACTCTTATTCCCCACCAACATCAATCCATAATCCCTCCCCGCACCGGCACCGGCGATGTAATCCCGCACAAACTCCGCCAGCCCTTTGGTCAGGGACAACGACTCCGGATCTCGGACGTCGTAGACCAGCACCGCCGCCTCGGTGATGGCGAGCGCCTGCTCGAGGGCCGGGTTGCTGGAGATCTGCTTCGACGGCATCTCGAGCGCGTCGACGAGGTACGGCTGGCCGTCGAGGCGGATGTTGTGCCGGCACCCGCGCTCGTAGAAGGGGTCCGGCGGTTCGGATTCGCCGCGGAAGGTGTCTTGTCCGATCTATAGGCGCTGTCAGATACAAGAAGTTCCGGCAATATCTCGAGAGAGGGAGGAGAGACTCACCCTTGTCAAAATAGCGGTCTTCCCAGTCCCCTTGGCTCCCATAACCAGTATCCTGAACTCGCCCACCGGCTTCTCTCTCTTCTCCTCGGCCTCGATCTGTCTGTTCGCCAGCGCGGCTCGCCGTCTCGCCTCCTCTCGCCGCGGGTTGTTGCTCTCCTGCCAGCTCAGCACGCGCTTCAGGTACTGCGCTTCTTCGTCTGAGAAGACGTAGGAGCCCGTCTCGGCGTTGACGCGGCGCATCTTGAAAGAATTCGCGATGGAGGAAAGGATGATTTTTCAGGGTCCAACAGCAGGACCCTTACTGGAGATATATATTGTATCGGGCATCATGCGGGCAGTTACTCTCAACAAGGGGAACGGTGGATAATGAGGGTATAGAAGAAGCAACAACCCAGATATCCATCGGGGTTGATTTGCTGGTGAGACAAGGAGGGTAGATCTCACGGGTTGAAGGTATTTTGGCAGAATGGCAGTCTGTTACAAGAGGTTCGACTTAAGAGTCTCGTGGTATCATGATATGATCTGCGCATATGAGAATTGTCGGGGTTCACTGGGTTCGACAGACGGGACAGCCAGCAGGCTAAAGCCAGCTTTCGCGCTCCTGCGCTTTCTCTCGTGGCCCGCCTGTGGCTTTATTTGGTACCAGACCGCTGGTACGATGAATTCGACCAGAGATATTGGTCATATTCGCAGCTCGAAGCCGAGTATCACTTGATACGGTAGCAGATTGCTGTTGAACCATCGGACCTACACGGACTGTGTTGCAAAATGTATTAATGGAGGAGCAACGGTCGGATTGAGAACCGTACTCAACAAGAAGCAAGTTCGAACTCGAGGCCTTGTGGAAAAGATGGGTTGTTTCGGATATCGAAGGCCTCGGGGGAGACTAACAGTGCAGTGTCCCTTGTCCGGTGACTGCGCAATTATCCCGCTGATTGGCGGTCATGGCCGTTCTTCCGTGCTAGCAATGTTCTCGTGCAGGATACTCTTCATGGCCAAGGACTCTACCAGTGACGACTAAGGTCCCATACCCGCTGTCGAGCGTCAGAATGCAGTGAAAGTTTCCTTGCATGCGCACAATGGGCAGGGATTGGACTGGGTTGGTCAACCAGCCCGCATCGATCGTTCATTCAGTTGGGATAATTGAACGACGCGATCGAGTACGTACGCTCAGCATTTGAGTGAGTCTCACCGACACATGGCTGCGCCGCCTCCACGCCGCCGCCGGACGCACACCAGTCCGTGTTCCAAGTGCCGGCCGCGACCGTTCGCGGTGGCCGACATCCGTCCATCTCTTGTTCTATATATACGTACTTGTACCCATTCGATGGTGCAGTTGCGCTGTCGAGTGTGTGACTGCACACGCAGTGTCAAAGCCTTGAATGACCACTCAAGCAAGATAATAAAACAGGTCGAAGCTTTGCCGCCACACTTCTGGAACATCTCACCTTGTTTCTCATCTCCAAGTAGTCTTGGTGAAACAATCGTTCCGATGTTTCTGGCCCGGTCCGCCGCCATGGCTACCGAGGGTGGGACATCAAGTCCAGACGTTGTTGATATTTCCCTCTGTCCTCTACCATATATGGCCTCAGTTGATCCAGCTTCACCAGATCGGTGTTACTGCAAGCTACTGTCACTGTTCCCACCTCTCCCCTGATCTTATTCTAGCTTATTTTCTCTGTCGAGTCCGCTTACGGTCAGGTACCGTGCCCACAGTCTCGCAGGTCTCTTCTAGTGTACCAGAATAGCAAGCTTTTCGGCCGGCGACCTTCATCATGAACAGACTATCAACCATACCCATCACGCTAGATCCGTCCATATACAGACCGCAAGCTCCAATGATGGAAAGAAGACGATCGAGGTCCATCACCCTGGCGCCTTCAGTGTTCGAACCCCGGAAACGCAGTGCCACCGACGAATACCCATCTAGACGGTCGAAGAACCTTCCGCCATTACCGAAGAGCCCCTGGCCTGTTCCGCCGAGTCAATTCGAGGACAACGACAGACCGTGGAGAGAGAAATCGGACAGCAAAGAAACTGTCCACATCCATCATGGTGCTAGCCGGACTCACTCCGAGCCGCCGTCGCGACAAGGCAGCTCGCACACCCAAGCCAGCCAGCCCGAGAGCCGCGCTGATTCCAACCCCCCATCTCGGCAAGGCACAATGGACGCACCACCGCGCCTTCGCCGAGCCGTCATTCTGGAGCGCGCACCACTCCGAAGACCTTTCGTACCTCCTCCGAAGCTAGAGTCAACACCACCACCGTCAAGCCCACCATCACGCTCAAGCACACTAGTCGGAGAAGAAGACGCCCTCCCATCCTTCAACCCGCAATCCCGCAGCATCCAAACACGGTACATGGCCATGCTCCTCTCCCTCGACAAGATCCCCCGGCTGCACAACATTCTCGCCGCCTTGTTCGGGTGGATCTTGCTCGCCGGGTTCATCGTCTTGCCCGGCACATTTACCAGTATCGCCAAGTTGCAGAGGGATGAGCCGGTGCAGCAGGTGACCGGGGTGAGCGACGTTCTCAACGCGGTACAGAGTCTACCTTTGTCAGTCGCTGCCGCCGTGTGCTGCGGGATAGGTTACCTAGGAAACCTCTGGTTGTCGATCTGGTGGAGGAACAACTACGTCTGGCTGATCAACAGGGTGTACATTCCGGGTACGCTGAACGCACTGGCTGGGCTGATCAGTGCGTTGACGAGTGTCTACTCGCAGCACCAAGGGTCGTGGAGTGTAAGCGCCAAGATTGCTGTGGGGGTTGAGTCTGCGACTTGCGTGTTTTACTTGGTGCTGTTTCTGTTGTATAATAACTGGTTGCTGGAGAAAGTAAAAGAGCAATATCGGGAGGAGCTTGAAGTTGGTTTCGGCGGCACGTTCAGGGGTAAGGTGAAAAGGATGGCGAAGCAGCCGGCTGTTGCGCCTGGAAGTATTGTGTGAGATATACCTGACGGTGGGCAATTGAGGTCAAGTCGGTCAAAAACGATCAGGGAATGACAGGGTAGCATATGAAGTTACTAAGTGAAAATACCAATGTGTGCAAACCGAGATCGACAGGGAGCAAAAACAAAAAGGAATGGGCCGGCCGTGAATCGAACACGGGTCTCTTCGGAGTTGGAAAGATTGGAGAGCGAAACCACAACGAAGTGTTCTACCTCTGAACTACCGACCCATTTGCTTGATTGGATGACAGAGACACGCTTTTGGGAGTCGGAGTAGTAGGATTGGGCAGGCAGTGGGGAGCGGGCTCGTCGCCCATGGCTCTGGGTCGGTGATGAGGAAGGGGCGGGTGGCAGGAGGTGCCAACCTAGGTAATGTCCGACTTGCGTGATCGTCTGGCGCAGCTGGTCAGAAGGAGGATATGTGCAAGGCATCAACGAGAAGCGTCTGTGAAGTTCAGTAGCATCTCAACTTGCATTGAGGTGTGTCTGGTCGACAGACAAGGAGACGGACAACTTGCGAAGTGTAGGTAGCCAAAGTGAAGCAGGGGAGAGAGATACGCAATACTACGTCTATCATTCTAGAATACAGGCCCTAGCCAACACTTACCTTCACTCGCCAGGTGCACAGTGTCTGCCATGCCAGGATAAGCCGCAGGTAAGGGGACCTAACACCACTTCATAAACCAATTCACAGCGACGCCTTTCAACAGCCGGTATGGGTACGTCCCTCGGCTGTTTGGCCGACCTAGTAATAGGTCCGCTCCCCTCCCCTCTCCACTCTGGGTAGAGAATTAAAACCTCGTGGCCTCCGAGCCTGAGTTCGATCCCCCCTACTCGCCAAAGCAAAAAGAAAACGAAAAAGCGCCGCCGCAGAAATGCGACGCCGCACAACCGCCACAACGAAGTAAACCATACGAGTTTCGTAGCCGAGCACCCTGAGGGTTGCCCGGTGAGCTTTTGCTCCTTTGTGACTTCTTCAACTGCTTTTTGCAGTTCCTCTGCCTGCCCAAGCCGAGTCTCCATGCCGTATGTCTAGTGATGAGAACGCCTCGATGCAAAACCCCGGAGATATCTCACGCTGCCTCAGAGATGAACCTCACCCTGCCTCCTCCCCTCCCACCATGCAGCCAGTCTGTAGAACCAATGGCACACCATGCCACCAGCAAAGCCCATAGCATCGTTACGAAAAGCCACAATCCCAGCCATCGTAACAAGCATGACCATCCACCTCTCCGCCCGTTCCTGCTCATCAAGTACCCTCTTCTTCCGCCTCAACATGACAACCCCATCAGAATCCCCTCCCTCCTCTTCATCATCCTCCCACAAATCCATAGCATCCTCATTAACGCCCACCGCAACCCTCGTCAGTTCCAGCCCAGCACCCAGCACCATTACCCCCAACACCGCGCCGGGGAACTTATCAATAACACTCACCAACGAGTCCCCAAACACCAGCCCCAATCCCAACTTCAACACCCCAAGACATATGACACTAGCACCACTCCTCGCCCCAAACCTCCACTGCGCCGCCAGTCCCCCGGCACCGTGACACATGGGCATAGCCCCGAACCAGCACCCCACGAGATTCATCCCCGCCACACTAAACCCCAGCCCCGTGACAGTCACCTTCATCTCGGGCACCAAATCCCCCGCCAGCGCAGACACAGCAACGACGCTATTCAGCGTCGTCAGCGGCAGCTGGCCGACAGCCATGCCCAACACCTCGAGCCCCGTGTAGGACCTCCCTTCCACCCCCAGCCAAGCCGGTATTTGCACCCCCGGCGTCCACGGCGCCCACCCGGGCCTATCTTCCTTTTTCACGTGAGTCATAGCCCAGACCACCCCCCCGATGAACATCACCAACGCGAACGGCACCGCCTTCCCTCCCCCTCCTCCCCTTCTTCGTGTTGTCCCAAGCACAAACACAGCAACCAGCACAACCCCCAACCCAGCAAACACCCACATCTCCCATTCTTCCCTCCCGCCCCCGACAACCCCGCTCGAGTACCCGACAAGCTGCAACCCAGCACCAATCTGTATCCCCCTCACCACAGGCGTCGGCACGACGCCTCCCATCCACCTCAGCCCGCCCGTCGCCGCCAGCACAAGTACGGCTAGACTAACCCACCCGCCCGCCGCCGTGACCATGCCCCTTTCATAACCGCGGCTTATGGCCTCGGCGGCGATGGCTTTCATCGGCTGCACGGGGAGGGGGATGCCGAACACCGCGCCGGTGAGGATGTTGAACAGCCCCGAGAAGACGAGCGTCGAAGACAGGGAGATGGAGTCGTGCTGGGCCAGGGAGATCATCAAGGGTAGGAGGGTGCCGAGGTCGCCCAGGGCGCCGGAGAGCTCGGCCCAGGGTTGGCGGCGGACGGTACGGAGGTTGTGGGCGTGGCGGCGGGGGATGTCGTGGGTGAGTTTGGCGAGCGACATTTCGGAGGTTGAGTGTGGCGCAGAGCCATGAAGAGGACTTAGAGAGGTGTGAGGTGAGGTTTTATTTTTATTTTTATGGAGGGTTGAGTGTGATATTGGATTGATACGAATTATGGAGTTGTCTGGTTTGGCAATGTGACTTAATGGAGCTATCTCGGAGTGGGCATGACTGACGTTACGCGGCTGTGAGTAAGGCACTTGGGTTTTGAGCGATGCGACTAACTAACATGCAGTGTGTAATGTGGGACGATTGAAGGTGGCTGAAGTGTTTAAAAATATAACTTGTAAATAGATACAATATGAAACTAAGTATCAGGCAGAGGTATCATTATGCCACGCCACATCGCTCGTACAGCTCTACCAGCTCGTCTTTCTCATCGGGGTATATATCAAGGAAAGTCCTGGCTCTCGATTAAGACGCCGAAATCCACGTCCACCAGCTCATTAGATCCTGCCACGTGTCTTCATTACCACCTCATCAAAACCCCCCCTCTTCCACGCAGGGAAGCATCTAAAACCACCTCCTCCGGCGAGTAGTCCTCACGGGAGGCGCATACCCGTCGTGGACAACCTCGTGCTTGGTGTCCAGCCCGCCATTGCGGCGGCGGTGCATGCGACCGGAGCAGCAGGTAAAGAACGTGACGATGGCGCCCAGGAGCGAGCAGATGCCGCCGACGAGCAGCGTCCACGCGGCGCTGGAGTACTCGGCGTGCCAAGCGTTGCTGTTGCGGTTGATCTGGGTCTTGACGATGCTGAAGAGGACAAAGTCGATGATGACGATGACGAGCGTGACGATGAAGGCCAGCGCCGCGACAAGGGAGGCGAGCAGGGAGCCGACCATGCCGGCGCCGAGGGCCAGCACAAAGGCGATGAAGTTGAGGCCCGTCGCGACGGGGTGCAGGACCATGGCCTTGGTGAGGGAACGCGTGGTGCGCGTCGCCGCGTCCGAGAAGTTGATGTTCAACGGGGCGGCGGGATCGTAGCCCAGAACCTTGCGGGAGCAGCCCTCCTCGCTATGATGGGAAATGGTTAGACGGTTGTTATTCTGAAGGTAGGAACTTTTGTGGAGGTAGCAGCGTGACTTACCGGTCATTGCCGCCGATAAGGTCGCCGTCGCGGTTGTTCGCGCAGTAGCCGAAGGTGCCGTAGGTCACTGTGTTGGGGCTGTTCAAGTATTTGACCTTGACGAGGGCGATGTCGTTCACCACCGGGGAAGAGATGGTGGTGACGAGGAGGAGGATGGTTGCTGCGAACAGCAGGAAGGTGCCGATGTGGTGGAAGAAGCCTGTCCGCGCCATCGCGTCGGTTGTTTACTTGTCGCAAGGGGAGACTGGTTGGGTGGCCTTGACGCGAAGCTCGGAAACAGCTGCTGTACTAACTATTAAGACTGCGAAGATCGATTAAGTTGAAGATAGGAACAACAACACCAGAAACGTGGCTGGCACGGGGAGGATCGTTGGCTATAAACAATTCCCAGGTCCTAAGCACAGACGAACGGGAACCAGGGACAAAGCCTGAGAGCACGACGGCCTCCCTTGCACGTGTAACCGTGCGACGTCATCCGTGCCGTCCAAGTTGCATTTGTTCCAACAAAAGGCGTTACTGGAGCGCCCTAGAGGGATTCCAGAGTATTGCAGGGCAACGAGGCTGGTTATTGCTTTGCAGCGCGGCGTGCGATTCGCTGGGTGATCCGCGACGGGCTCAACAGCTTCCATGTTTATGCCCCTTGTCTTTGGATGACGTAGCAGCTCATTTGCTGGCAGGTTTGTTTGCAGCCCAGCTGACCCACTTTCCCCCGTGTTCATTGAATTTGGTGTGTTTCGGCTTAGCGGCATCGCGGCAGTGGTCCGCACGGTTCTGCACCCTGATTTTGACCCTGGTTTTTAGCTTCCAACGGCCTGTGATGACGGCAAAGCCACATCTGGACCCCTTCGGAAGACGTCAGCCACTCTGCTGATCGGCTTGCCGAGCCGCTTCCGACGGCTCTTCCAACCGCATCGAATGACCAGAGTTCGAGCGAAGGTTGCAGTGCCCCATAACCAAGATCTGGACCCTGTTGGTGGACGAAACGCAGCCTGCCAGCTCGATGGGATCGGAGCTTGATGATCGTCGACCAGCAATGTCCCACCTCTGCATGATCGCTCCCACGTTGGTCAGAGCTTCTGACTTCTCAAACGCCTCTTGTCCGATAAGTCTGCCGATGCTCCTGGATCTCATGGAGGGTACCGGTATATCCAACGATCACAGAGCCGACCGCATGGTGCGTCTTGTCAGACCTTGGACGCGTTGGTAAAAACTCCGGGGGTCCCATCCGGAACGTCCCGCCTACACGTGTAGACCTGTCGTTGGATCTGTGGCTTAGACCGCAGGCAAGTGTTCGATTGGTCTTCTCATACCGATGTGAACCCAACAGACCGTCGAATATTCATCCGGAGCTGTTCGTTGTTGTAGGGTAGCCACACATTTGCTGCCGCTCGTGCATCGATGCGTCGTCGCTAGCCGATGGTTGATCCCAAGATATTCGCACTGTTGCGGGACTGTTGCGGGACCATTGCTAAAAGTTTTTGAAGCTCAGCTCCGGCCGTGAGGCGCAGAGCTCGTCCCTACGAGCGACGCGTCACCTCAGTAAGCCGATTCGGCATGGTCCAACAAGTTGGGGTCGTCGACATCGTGTATCGAGTGAGACGTTCGTTCGAGCCCAAATGTCCCGTAGACACTGAGAGACGGTCTTGCAACCGCAGAGAAGACCGGGAGGAGGCCTCTGCAAGCTCACTGCTTCCCATAAGCGAGCCTT